TCTGACTCAAGGCTCGGAGCTGGTAATCGTGTTTGTCTCCTGGTTCAGCGATTAGTGCTCTCTTTCTTGCACTTTCCCCTGGATAGCCAATGTCCCTTTTTGCAGGCACAGAGGGCTAGGGTGGGGGAACCTTCTTTCACTAGTGGGCCCCCAAGGCCCCCATTCACGCGCCGGCTGTTCTTTTCCCCTTACCTGAGGAAAACAATCAGAAAGCTGGCGGGGATTGGCAAAATCTTCTAACAGTGATTTCTTTCCTTCTGGGAAAGAAGATGGGCACTTGGGTCGCATCAGGGGTGAAGAGAAGCCTGCAGGGCGCTGCCTTTCCAGAGCCCGTAGAGAGAGGGTAGGGCCGGGGCGGAAGAAAGGGAGCCTCACAGCACTTGCTGGGCAGATTTCGCCACCACCAAGACTGCCTTGTGCGTCAAGATCGGTTTCCTGAATATTTGGTTTGAGACACCAAAGCACTTTGCGCGGGCTTGGGGCAAGGATCTCGGCAGCGGGGCTCCGGGGCAGGGGGACGATCTTCCTCGCCTGGCATCTCGTGTCGTGGATGTCTCCGCGGTACGCGCGCACCGAAGGGGGAAGGGCTGGCGCGGTGAAGCTCGCAACTCTCCCGAACTAGGCTGACGCGGAATCCTCCCCGGGCGCGATACGAGGGGAAAACCAGGGCAGACGGAGAATTCCGTGCAGGGGGTCCAGGATGAAGGTGGGGCGTGAGTTTGCATAGCTATTTCTCCGGGCTTCCTTGGCTCCCCGGAAGAGGACAGCCAAAAAATCCCAGCCCACCCTAGCTCCCAGCGCTTGTGAGCACAAATAACGAACTCTGGCTTTGCAAGGAGTCCTCGGCGGGGAAAGCTAATCTTTCCCAGTCCGGCTCCCCCGGCTCTGGAAACTGCGTTGGTAGCCCCCCAGGGAAAAACTAAGGATGTTCAGGATTGGCTAACTTGTACTCGCCATCTTTCCGCTCTTCTGAGAGCTCGCTCGGAGGGTCGGGACTCAGGGTACAAACCCCTCTTGGCAGGCATGTCATCCTGTCCTTTAAGCAGAGAGTCGACGCACCCTCTCCTTGCAAGCAGGGTGATTTACTGGGAACTGGGGGGCAGGCCCGCTGCGCAGGCAAACTTTTCCTCTTCCATTCTCTGGGAACAGCGCCCCCCCCGCCCCGCCCCGCCCCGCCGCGGCCTCGCTACCCCCCTCACCCCCATTCACCTGCCGCAGCAAGAGTTTGGGGAGGAGACCAATTGTCCTCTTTGGCCACTTGTGAGGTCGAAGTGTGGATGCGATGTAGCCTATGGCCCCACAGCAACACCTACCCTAAACTTTAGGGCTTTTGGGTCGCCTTAAAGTTCAAGCTTCTTAGAAGCAACAAAGACTTTCTAAAGATCTCCACCCTTTCACCCCTCCCCTTACTTCACTTTTCTCTGGCTACACGCATTCGACCCCCTTTCTTTCGAAGGCTTTAGGGATGAGTTTAAATCATTGTGCTCCCATTTCTTGATAACTGCCTGCTTTGAGCTTTTGTTCTCTTAAAGTAGGATTGCACACTGAAAGAGGGCTGAAGATGAACAGTTTGACCCTTCAGGACAGTTCACGCAGTGGACAGGAGCGGCCCTCGGTCACCATCCTCACTGATGCTATTCACGATCTCCCCTCCCCCTTCGCATAACATTTCAGCCTCGTTTCATCTGGACAATCTTTTAGACCACACAAGTGCCTCTTGAATTTATTTAAGTTAAAAGAGTGCTAGAAGAGTCCAGATAAGGATGTTCCGCGTTGGTAACGTCTTCGCAAATCTGAGTACAAATCGAAATTTCTTTCTTTCAGCAAAACCCAACAAAAGGTTGAACAAATAGAATTCTGCAACTGTGTGTGAATGGCCGGCTTCTGAATTTCACTAGCGTTGTTAGACTCTTCTTGGGGCTCTTTTCTTTTTTAAAAATAATATTCATAGTGGGAAATATTTCCAGAAGTGTTCTATTACTGAATGCTTCTCTCAAAAGCTATAACACAAACATACAACCAAAATTCTTAGAATTCCAAGATGATCTAAAGGACGATTTTTTGGAAACTCTTGTAGTTTGCACAGTAATCTAACATACACCACAGCATAGACCCCAAGAAGCCCTTATTTCAAAGATAAAATTTTGTAATGTCCATGATATCTTTATATTTACATGGATTAGAGGTTGGTTGATGTCAGTGTTTGAACATGTGTACAACCTTAAGTTTCTTGGCACAATTTTCCCTTTAGAAGGAAATTTCTGTAATCATAAATGTGAAATCTATCCTAACAATATTTTATTTTTACTAAATATCTGCATAGGACACACTTAAATATGCATTATTAACTTCTCGTAGACAGTATAGGAAGTTTGGATTTTGACAATAGAAAGCATGTACCCTTTTGGTGCATCATAAAAACATAAAATCGTGGGAGAACATAAAAACTGGGGGGTCATACACGCAAATGCTGTTAACAATCAACTAAAGAAATCCATTGTGTTTCACTCACACTAAGCACTAGACCCAGCTTGATCTCCGTGTCTGTTCAGTTATACAAGACTGGTCAGTCTTTCCTTTAAGCCTCTTCTTAACTGGTTTCTGATTCTGTTCTTCCCCCCCGGAATATCTTTTCATCAGATCAAACCAGCACTTCTAGCCAAACTAAAATATTAAAACAACTGTCCAAGAAGGTACCTTTCTACTGAAACTAAAATAAACCTTTCTTTGTTTTCTGTTACATTGGCATCCATGGCAGTCTTGAAGGCTTTCTTTTATGGGGACTGTGAAGAGTATCTACATGTTTGTTTGGGATCAGTGAGCATCACCTGGAAAATAATGCTAAGGTGTACATGCAACCACGTTAAGCACTTCTGGTAACTTTTACTACGGACACATCTTCTTTTTGATCCAACTCTTTCATGAAATTCTGATTCTGCAGGTTCATGATTTAGAACCAGAGACCCAAAGAAGTGCCAGAGAGGCAAATACTGTATGTTGGAGACTGAACGTGTCTCTCCCTTCTTGATAATTTTTTGCACTTCTCACAAATGAAATCAAGCTCCTCGGAAAACATGGAGGAGGTAACCTGGAGGAAATAATGCTTTTAAATTTAGGGAACTTGTTTTTCAAAAGGAGGGAGAGGCAAAACACAAATATGAGTGAGGAAAGTGAAAATCGTGGCAGTTTTAAAATCATTTTGAGACAGAAGGAAGTCTGGAGTTTGTAGAGCTGAGCTGGGCAAAAGTCTCTTTCGTAGGATTCTAATTTTCATTTTCTTTACTTTGTGCTTTCCAGTCCTGCTTACCCCTGCAGAAAATATCAAACAAATTAAAACCATGCCAAAACACTGGCAACCACTTTCATCATGCCCTTTTCTCAAATAAACTTGTTTCCAATTCCTACAGACTGAATGAGACAGAGACCCGCAGACAATTATCTTTTTCTTTCGCCACTTTTCAACGCCCAACATTCCAAATGTTCCTTGCTTAAACTTAATTTGCAAAAGGGATCTTAAGGCAGTCCTCTCCCATCGACCAGAGTCCAGATCCATCGCCACTACTCAAGCATAGTCTACTGCCCGGCCCAGCACACACTTCTGGGGACTATGCTTCTGTCTCTAAGAAAAGTCAGCCACGTCGACAGGAGGGTGGGCATGAGCGCAGGGAGGAGGAGAGAGGGAGGGCTGACAAGCAATGTAGAACAAGTTTCCTTCGAAGCCCAGTCACCGTCAGTTCTATTTTCCCGTTGAAAAGCCGGGAGTATGGGAAGGACGGGCCCCCTGTCCCTACAACGCCCCCCAGCGCGGAGCAGAGGTCACGGAAATGTCAGCGCGGCCCAGGCGCCCGCGGGAGCGCAGGTCGGCCGCTCCTCCCACTCCGCTCGCTGCCACAGTCGCGGGGAGTCACCTGGTTGTCTGGCCCTGCGGTAAACAGGGGTTAACCCCCCCCCCAAAAAAAAACCAAAACAAACAAAACCTGTGTCAGTTCCCGGAGACCCAGTTTGTCACAGGTAAAATGAGGAGAGTCCTTTCAGCTCTAACACGTGAGCGCTTTTCTCACGTCCTCTTAAAGCCCATCAACCGCTCCCACACTCGATCTCTCTCCTTCTACGAGACGCCCTCGATGAACCCGCCACCGTCCTCTTCCTTCACCCTCGCACTCTAGTCTCTCTGGAACCTACGTGCCCACCACTTGCCCACAACTCGCCACCCCTACTACATATTCCCCCCTTAACCAAATGACTGCGTTTTAAAAACCATTTCCTATTTGATACAGCTCCTAAGAGGCTTTGCCATGAGGCACCCGGCAGCACCAGAAGGTAGCTGCTTTCCCCGGCATTCTGACCCTCATTAACTAATTCCTCGGATCCCGAGGTCCGGGAGCTGAAAGGCTGGGCAGCGCCTGGTACTGCGCGAGAGCGCACGCCGGGGCGGGGGGTGCGGTCGCAAGGACGGGGGCGGGGGCGGCAGCCTGGGTCTCCCCAACGGCCCCCGGCGCCCCGGCCCCTAATGAGCCGCTGAAAGGGAGCCGGCTCCGGTGCGCGTGGCTCGCAGGCCTCCCGGAGTCCGGGGCGCCGTGATTGGCCAGCTGCGCCTCGCGACCTCCATTCATTAATAAATTAGCGGCACGCTCCAGCCGAGCGCGAGCCACCAATCACAATGGGCAGCGGCGGCGACAACAGCCGCAGCTTGAGCTGAAGCCACCACCGCGGCTTCAGCCGCTCCGACCACAGCCTCAAGCTCCAACAGGAGCTTTAGAACCATTTTATGCTGATTAGATAAAGGGGGAAAAGAGGCGGGGGCGATGGGAGGAGGAGGATGGATGGCAGGGCCGGGGAGGGGGGAAGTGGTTGAAGAAAGAGAAAGAAATGAATGATGATAATGCAATGAAAAGAATAAGCCGGGGGAGGGAAAAGCGGGGGAGAAGGGGGGTCGCCACAAGGGGAGGAGGAGGCGGCGGCCCGGGGTTGGGGGGGGAGCTGGGGGCCCCGGGGGCAGATCTGATTGTTTTCTTGGTGGTATATAAGGGGTTTTAAGGAGAGTCGTGTGCCAGACACGCAGCCACTGAACCACAAGCAGCTTCGCTTTAACTGGAGTGCCCGGGAGTCGCGTGCCAGGAGCCGCACTGCCGAGGACTGACTGACAGACAGACACGCACCACCACCACAACACACGAGATCCAGGCGGATCGCCGCGGCCACCGGGGATCTTGGCAAACTCGTCCGTCGGACCGGTCCCCCGTGGAGCCGCACCCGAGCCGCTGTTTTCAAGCGAGGAGGAGGACGCAGCGCTGCGCTCCCGGCGGCGCGGAGAATCGCTTCAGCACACGCCAAAGTACTAGCGACCCTGAGACTCATTTAGGGAGCAAACTACGTAAGTATCCTCCCTGGGGCTTCCAGCTTGCACGGGTGTTTCCGGCACCCGGTTCCACCACGTCCGAATGCCCTTTGCTCGCGTAGAATCTTTGTCCCGGGGGTCGCTGTCCCTTTCCGGACTTCTACACATCCCTGAGGTCGGCCCGCCGAGTGCGGGGGGGCCCGGTTGGCTGGCGGCGGGATCACAACGAGGGGCTTCTCAGGAGCTTGGAGAGCACTGGCGGGGTTTTCTCCCTAACTACGTTCTTCCTTGGCGCGGTTCCGAACCAGTCCGCGCGGGTGCGCGCAGGAGTACTTCCCACTGACACCGAGAACGTGCCTTGGACTCTGTATTTACAGCTCATTTGGTTCTTTCTCCCTCCCCGCTCTCTTCGGTAGGATGTTTGTTAAATCCGAAACCTTGGAGTTGAAGGAGGAAGAGGACGTGCTGGTGCTGCTCGGCTCGGCCTCCCCCGCCTCTGCCGCCCTCACCCCGTTGTCGTCCAGCGCCGACGAGGAGGAAGAGGAGGAGCTGGGCGCGTCGGGCGGGGCGCGCCGGCCGCGCGGGGCCGAGGTCGGGCCGGGTGGGCTCGGCGGCTCTCCGGCCGGAGCCGAGGGCTGCCGGCCCGCGCGGCTGCTGGGTCTGGTGCATGAGTGCAAGCGGCGCCCCTCCAGGGCGCGAGCCGTTTCCCGCGGCGCCAAGACGGCCGAGACGGTGCAGCGCATCAAGAAGACCCGTAGATTGAAGGCTAACAACCGTGAGCGCAACCGCATGCACAACCTCAATGCCGCGCTGGACGCGCTGCGCGAGGTCCTCCCCACGTTTCCCGAGGATGCCAAGCTCACCAAGATCGAGACCCTGCGCTTCGCCCACAATTACATCTGGGCGCTCACCGAGACCCTGCGCCTGGCGGACCATTGCGGGAGTGGCGGCGGAGGCCTGCCGGGGGCGCTCTTTTCCGAGACTGTGTTGCTGAGCCCGGGAGGCGCTAGCGCCTCCCTGAGTAGCAGCGGAGACAGCCCGTCGCCTGCCTCCACCTGGAGCTGCACCAACAGCCCAGCGCCGTCCTCTTCCGCGTCCTCCAACTCCACCTCCCCCTACAGCTGCACTTTATCTCCTGCCAGCCCGGCGGGTTCTGACATGGACTATTGGCAGCCCCCACCTCCCGACAAGCACCGCTACGCACCTCACCTCCCCATAGTCAGGGACTGTATCTAGAACTGCCCTCCTTGCTACCCGCTCCAGGCCTTAGTAGGTTCCCGTTCTTGTCCCTGACCAAGCCCTCCTCCCACCCCTCTCCCGTCTCCACTTCTATATGCCCCGGAAACTATCTCACTTTACGGGGCAGATGTAGGCATTCTGAATCCTGGGTTGTTTGCTGCATTCCTTGGCTAAGGGTTTCCTTCCTTCAGACGGTCTCTACTTTATTGATGGTGTGATGGAGCTTATTGTCAAAGAGGATGGTAGAATTTGGGGGGGGGGCGTTTCTACGGCTAGAAAGATGCTGGAAAGCGACGAAGGTGGCATGTCTAAAGAGTATGCAGAGCGGACTGACGCTCCTCCCCCTCTCTGTAACACCAGAGGGACTCGGAGCAGTTCGTGTGAATCTCCCAGGGGGAATGCAACTGGTTCCTCTGATCTCTTCACCTTTGCTTCTACATAGAGATGTTAATGTCGAGTAGAAACAAATGTATCTTAGCATCTGAATGATTTTACCGGTAATAATATTATCCACAGATTTGCAATGGCTGGCATCTGCTTTATTCCCATTGCTGTCTGAGGGCTGTGGGAATTTCACCTGTCAAACCAAACTTTCCCTCTCTGATGTGCACTTTGTTCTGTTTCCCAGATTCGTCACAATGCCTATTGTCCCGTTCTTCTCTTTCCTTTTTCTTCTCCATTTTGCCATCTGTCTCTTATGATTTATAAGGGGAAAAAAAGTTGTTTTGTTAGAGGGCCAGGTTAGAAGTCATTGTATAATTTGTAGGCTTTGTAATGATTGAATGCAAGCGTGGAAATTTAGGCTGAACTCTCTATCAAAAGGAAAAATGTGGAGGAAAAGGGAAAAATCGGGAGGGAGGATTGTTTCATGCATTATTTATCTCGACCTTTTAGGGGAGAAGGAACTCCCCCATTCTTTCAAGAGATTAAAAATAAATCAACAGACTGAAAACCTGAGCAGACACGGAGCATTATCAGGATCAGCCACACACGTGTTCCTTTCTATTTATTATAAAGAAAATTTTCATGGGAAAAGTATGTATTTTTTGTATATTTTACAGAGTTTATTCTAGTATGTATTTACACCTTGAACAAAAATTGTTCTTGTGATTAAACTATAAATAAAATATATAATTTTCATAATTTTTGTGTGCTGTATTCTAACTTTTCCCTGCTTTTGTGGTTTTTAGAAGAATGTGTTGTGCCTTTCTGAAATTCTCCCTGTAGCAGATTGAGATAGAGTAGTTGTATTTTTCATCAGTGTTTGTGTGTAGAATTTCACTGACATATAAAATCTAAGAGATCACAAGAAGCTGAGTCATATTTGAGACACTAATACTGACATCAGAGTTAACTGCATACAAACAAAACTTGATTTTTAAGAGTGAACAAGATCAGTAAAAAAAAAGGGGGGATAGAGTTGGAAGATAATTAAATCATGATAAGTTCCAAAGTTCAGAAACTTTGATGTAAAAAAAAAAAAATAGTGGAGCTGAAGTTTCTTGTTAGAATGTGTAGAAATGTGTTCTTACACTTAGAGTTTCAATTATCACCTGTAAATTGTAGGGACTTGTCAGTGATTTCCAAGGTCCCTTCCAACTCTAACATCTATGATGTATTTATAATTCATTATTGGAAGCTGATTTTGTATTAGCCATTTTAACAAACTTGTTGGTTTTAAAAGCAAACTCCTGGAGAATATATATTCAGAGTGAGCTGGGATAAAATTGTGTCTGTGGGAAATAGCTAAGCTTTCCATTTTTGTTAAAATAATCACATAGTCAAAACTTCTTCAGAGGGAAAGCAAAAGTGGTTTCCTAATCTCCCAAACACATAGCTCTACAACTTGTACTTCAATTTCCAAAGCAGAAATGAATAGCACCATGGGTCAAAGATGACCAAGTGAAGGTTGATCACATCCTAGGGTTAAGCCCCTTCCTTGGTGGAGAGTGTCCACTGGAGGACACAAGCTTAAAAAAAAAAAAAATCAGCTTAGCAAAGAAATATTGGTTGCTCATGCCTCCCTGCAGCCTCCCCCTCCGCCCCGCACCCCCATGAACTTCATATTTGCTTCTGGTTTGGGCTAAATCTTCCACTCCTCTGCCTTAAGCAATGATAATTTCTCCTGAGATAGCTATCTGAAACTACTCCTCTTCTTTATCCAAGTACAAAATATTAAGTGTTTAATATCTTAATAACCTTTTTTTTTTTTAATCAAAGGAAGAACCAAGCCAAGGGTTTGCTTTGTTTTGATTTCATAGCTGGATATAAAAGAGACTTGTTGGAAAACTCTTCTAATTTAAAGTTCTCGTTATTCCTAGCCTCTCTTGATGATGTGATATGAGGAGGCAATGCTATATCTTTAATATTCACATCTATGTTTCTAATATTTAAAAAGCTAAGCCAGGAAGTAAGACAATTTTAGTAGGGTAGAACGTCAGTTTTAATACCAAATAATTGTTCTAGTGATGATGCTTATGACGATATATGGTTCTTCTTTTGGAAATTTGTCAAAGAAACATGTCAAGGTACAGGTCCGTAAAGACAAACCCTCAGGGGGCCGTTAGGCTCCCAAGACTATGGGAAACCTCAATTGGTGGGGTGATCCCGTAAACGGGTTACCCTAATTGTTTAGTTGGAGAGGCATGGATGGCGAGACAGTCCAGTAAGCGCAGCTTTGAGTAAGCGCAGTACAGCCAACAACTGAGCCCTCTCTTTAGCTGAATGGAGCAGCCACCGGTACACAGGACCCGAGACACGTTTAGCAGGAGCTTGTGGGTCCCCACACACATCCGCAGCATGTCATACATGGGGGGAATTCCGTCTACCATTTGTAACCTATACTCAGGCTCTCCCTTCCTCCTGTAGAGCAGACCTTATTTTACACTAAATCGGTGCAATGATTTTTGATGGCGCCCAATCTCTTTTCGCGGTTACGGATGATCTTTCTGCCTCATTTCGCGTTGGATGTCGCGCAGCAGCTTCCACAGCCCGTGGGCTGAGGCCCAGCCGTCCTTTCCCCTCCTCTGTAAGAATGAGAATTACAGGGTTGAGGCCGCTGCTTCTGCAGTGGGGAGTAGAGTCGCTCTTGTATTTTTTCCATTTCCTCTCCACGTTGTGACCACGACAGGAGGAGCTCGGTCTGCACGGAGCAGGCTGGGGGGCGGCTGAGCAGCCATTCCCTCTCTGGCAGCTCTCTGGTGAAGAACGTTTCAAACGAGGCCAAGGAGACGTTCTTCCAATGATAGCCCCACACCGCCAGAGTTGCTAGATCTTTCCAGCGCCTGCGAGTGTGCTGCGCGTGTTTACCTAAGGGCTGAGAGGTGCGACCGTCGGTCCTGTCCTCTTTGGAAACTTCGCTTCGACGCCGTCAGGGTTCCCGCACTGGTTGATTTATTGGTTCTGAACTGCCCCAGGCCTTGTTACCGGACTAATTTTTCCTTCACCAGATTTTAAATAAATCCAGCTGAGGGCCAATAAGGAGGAAAAAAAAAAAAAAAAAAAAAAAAACAACAACAGAGAGACGGGCTGCTAACTGCTGGGCCCACCGCGGGACCCCGGCCCAGGCTCAGCGGAGGCGGGAGTGGGGAGCAGGGCTGAGGAGCCCGGAGTCCGGCCGCACCTGAGCAGGGGTCGGGTGGGCGCCCTCCCGGGCCGAGCCTTGCAGGCCGGGCTGAGACGAGGGCAGTAGGCGGCCTTGTCCCGCAGAGAGCGAGGTTCCAGTCGGTCCTTCCCTGAGTTTAGCCCGATTACGCATGAAGGACATCTGGGCCCAAGGCCCGCTGTAGCTGCGCACACCAGCCGGTCCAGGGGGCAGGGGCTCCTGGCTGCGGCGGGCCAGGCCTGCGGGAAAGGCTGGGAGCTGTGAGCCCCCCACCCGCCTCGCCCTCCGCTTGCAGTTCGCCGGGTGCACCCCCTGCATTGCACAGCCTTGGGCAGGTTGTGACTTCTGGGCACCGACACCTGGAACCCGTTAAAAGCGCCTCCTCCTCGTGCTCGGCCTCCCCCCATCCCCCGCGCCCCCTCAGCTCTAGGGCTCCCAGGCGAGCTTTGAATGTATTAATTAAATAAAGCAGGCAGCCCTTGAATCGAACCGATGCAGGGCGCTCCCGGGAGCGTGAAAGTCCCGGCCTCCGAATCCGCAAAAGAAAATGTGTGAAAAGAGAATTAGTGAAATTAGGTTAGACCAATAAAACGTGAGGGCTCTGGCACCCACCCCCCTTCCCGCTCCCCCAGCCTGGGGCTAGAAGGGCTATCTGGTCTGATCTATTGTTTCCCTCCCTGGCAGGGGGTTCATTGTGTGATAAATAATTCCCCTTCCATTTTATTCTTTAAAAAAAGGGGGGTATTTGCATAATCACTGCTTTGATGTGGCCAGAATTCGGAGGCTTGGTCTCCCCAAGTCTACTTTTGGTAGCGAAGCAACAAAGCTCGATCCAGATCTTTCACTTCGCTAACAGTGTGTGGGGCAAATTGTCGGAACGGCAGCGTTAAGCTCCTTTTTTAAAGGATCCATTTTAATGATGAAACCTAAGGAATGTCAAAAAATGGGGGGTGAAAACCGAGGGTTCTCACCCCCCTACTTCTCCCTCTCCTTTAGGGTTCATTGTTCTCGGCAGTTTTTTCCCAAAGCCCTTGGGGGTGTGTGTTGGGGGGATGCGCCTTCCTTAGGGCCGCCCCACGTGGCACGCAGTGGGCACCGGCAAGGTCTGCCCGGGTAGGGATGAGCGAGGACTGCAGGAGGGGTTCTCTTGCACCCCCCCACCCCACTTCCACGGTTTTCTTTTCTCAGTTTGGTTTATCCAGCCTGGATGAGCTCCTCTTACGGAGGACGCTGAAGTGAGTTTGCTCTTTAGTCCCCGAATCAAATCCGAGGGGGTCTCCTGGGAACGCAACTTGGGGGCAGTTTCAGATGGTCCCCGAGGGGAGAGAGGAGCAAAGAAATTCAGTCATCCGGAAAGCAGAACGGGAAAGCCAGTGCGGCCGAAGCTATTATTTCCCTTCAAGGTGGCGCGAGTAGGGAGGATGGAGTGGGAAAGGGTCCTGATGGTGTGTGCACTACAACAAATGACTCCCCCCACCACCCCGCCCCTTGGTGCCAGAGGGAGGGCGATGGGAGTGCTCCTGTCTGCCTTCGCTCGCACCCGCCTTCTCCAGCCGCTCAAAGCGCCAAGAGGGGAAAGTCAACTTGGATTATAGACTAGGAACACCCAGTGAAAGGCCCGGGCTCCCTGAGCACCCGGACAGGCGCCAGTTCTGCGCTCCAGCCTGGGTAGGTCTCACCTGCGGGGGAGACGCTCAGCCTCCTGGGATCTGAGCGCTGGAATCTCGCAGAGGTGGGGGTGGGGAATGCAGGCGGGAAAGTGGGATCCGCAGAGCTTTCCTCTCCCTCTTTAGACCCCGCCTCTCACCGAGCTGACTCCCCGCCATTTTTCAGGTGTTCTACAAGCTTTTGGACGCAGAGCTTCACTGGTGGTTAGCTCATCATCAATTCTCTTTTTACTTATTTTTCCCTTTTACTTTTCAAGACTGTAACTGTGTAAGCATTAGGATTTCATGTCAAGATTCTCATGAAACAAAAATCATATTACTTAAGAACGAAAAGGACTTAGGATCTAAGTAAGGTTCCTCCCCAAAGAAGCATACTTTTAATTTTGATTGGACTTTGGGGAGAGTGCTTTAGATTCAAGTTCGATGGTAGCCTCTGCAGACAGTAGTGTACATTGAATTCCAGGGATGTAGGAAATCAAGATACAAAAAGTTAAATTTATTTCAAGGACCCATCTCCGAGGGAGGCCGTTTGGACTGTAACCCGGGTTTCAAAAATTCAGAAACGAGTGTATTTCTTCTCTGATCATGTTGAATTGCAGAGCAGGTGGGTCACCAACGTCTTTCTTCATCTCTCCTTTCTTTCTGATGATTCCATCATCACCTTTTCTTCTTTCTCTTCACTCCAGTGCCTGGAGACATACCTGGAGATGTCCAACCCTGG